ATAAACACCACTTCGTTTTCCTTAAATAGATTGTTTAGTTAATGCCTTCTAACTGTCAAAATATTCATAAAAATATTGCAAAATATAGTTATTTGTCTTTAGATACGAAGGTAGTACAACATTTTAGGTCACAACCAAATAAACAATGTTCACAATTTATTTAATTTTTTTCTAAGTTTTAGAATTCCACATTTTTCGACATTTTTTATCATCTTTAATACAATTTAACTGATTCTTTTATTTACCCGGATGCTTCAATGATTCTAGATTAATTTATTGCAAAATAATGCTTGATTCCAATGATAAAGTGTAGATAGTTTAGGAGACCTTTCTGATCTAACTAAATCGAAATTAGTACTGGCACCATGAAGTGATTCTTTGCTATTTTTAACCAAACATAGCAGGCTGTTAATACAGAAAATGAACGAATATTATTCCTCAAACGGTGGACATTTATTCCACCTTTATTCAATTGGTGGCCTAGGTAATGGTTTTGCAAACTTCCATTGAATGATAAAATTAGCATGCCATTTAAATAGTTAACTTCGGTACAATATATTCCCAACAATAAAACCTTCATGAATGCGAGGCAGTTAGAGCCCTCTTAGAATAAAATAGGCACGATTAATTTGCCAGTTAAAAGAAATCCAATATAATTTCTATTACAGCCACAACAAAAATTTCAAAAGGGATTCATTTGAAGTTTATGTACCATGTGGGGCAGGCGGTCGATTATTTATATCATTGTAAATTCAATTTAATAGAAAGAAATTAAGAAATTGACATCACATATCTTGCAGATCGAAAGTAAAGTGCCTATGAGGAATACATTTCCAGACCCATATCAAAAGTTTTGCGAATTTGGGTGAGTTCAGTTGGCTAAGACAAACGTTATAAAGCAAGTACTATGGTGTAAAAAGTAAGATAAACAGATGTTCTCCAAATTTTCACCGATATTAATTCTTAAATAGCAGATTGAATGATAAAATTGAAAACGTTATCGATTTGTGCAGTTTATATGGAACTGGGTTTGAATATGTTTGATTACAAATGCAAGCCAATCACTGCCGCAGAAGTTGAGTGGCGAGAAATGTAAAAACAACGATATTTGAACAAAAGTGATTAATAAAGTTGACATTAAAAAAAACTATAAATATTGGCACTTTTGTTTCTCTTACCTTCTCATTTACTCAACAGTTCCATCATGGCGTTCGATAACTACTCAATCAAGATTTAAGCAATAAGCACATAGTCACATAGTAATATATTTATTTCAAATGGCACAAGTTTTGAGAGTTACCATTAGTCCTTTAGCTGACTTTGGGCTTCACAGAGGGGAGGAACATTAAAGTGAGAAGAATTCGAGGGGTGGGGAACAGAAGAGTGACTCACAGTTGTAAAAGACACAGACAGTCACAAAGACAGATAAAAGGCAAGATGAGTACTGTGAAAGTGGTCGAATATGACATACAGTAAGGTGAGTACTGTGGAAATAGTCGAATATGGCATAGAGTGGGGAGATGAGTACTGTGAAAGTGGTCGAATATGACATACAGTGAACGCATGGTGATTTTAAGTCAGAAGTGAGCTGCTGTTTTTTAGACTTTTATGGCATGAGTATACGTTGTCTAGGGTGTACCCCGTGGAGACATAGCAATATATATATATATATATATATATATATATATATATTAAGATAAGATGGCTTATTTCTCAATTTATAATAATATAAGCTATTCTATTCCAATACTCAGACACTTTGTTGGAAAATCGGCCTCAAATGGTATTTGTAGTCTGCATTATTATTTCACATTCATTTATTCTGTTGTGGAAGAAATTAAGCGGCACTAAAAAAATTACCCATATGCACATAGTGTTTACGCCAAGCATTATCTATTAATAATTGCTGCACCACATTGTTTGTTCCTTTATTACCATTAGGAATAATATAAGATTTCGAAAAAAACAAGTAATGATAACTTTTATTACTATTATTATTACTCATTTTGTTGTAAAAAGGATAATTTACGATGGGTAGCTGAATTTGTCTACAAAAGTTGTTCAAAACACAACAAGGAGAGATAATGCACTCAAAGTGCTATCAACATTTTAAGAATCTTATTTAATTTCAAAGTGATTTCGGTTTGTTAGGTATTTTAATTGTTCACGCTCTACAAATCGAAATATTTTTACATCTGTGAATCGCTCTTCTTTTCCCCTCTCGAATTTTTCTCGCTTTGATGTTCCTCCTCCCCTCTGTGAAGCCCGAAGTCGACTAAAGAGCCAATGATAACTATCTTAACGCCTGCCATTTAAAATAAATAAATAAACCTGTCTACGGTTTTCAGTACGCATTGACAGTGTTCTTAATCAAGGAGCTTAAATGGGGGGCACACGATGACCATAACATTCTCCGTCGACTGCACGACCAACTTTTCGAGCAACGCTGAGCACATAGTCACTGATGTAAATAACTAAACGAACTAATCAGATCCTTTTGATACAAGCAAACAATCATCGGACCGGAAATCCAGAAGTTTAGACTGTGCAATGCCAGATCTTGCTTTAATAAAGTAAAGCTTCTGAGTATCATACGTCAACATTCTAAATCACAACTCCATCTGATATTAATAAATGAGACTTTTCAAGAAATGAAATTATTCTGGGTTTTAAAATGACAAACTCTGGACAAGTAAACGTCTTAGTCTTGTAACTCCAAGTTTTATAATTGAAATAGTTATTGAAATTGGTGAATTAGATCAATTCTCCATGAATGGCCTTGTTCTGTGCCCTCAAGGATCGCATACCTTAACTTATGAACAGCGAAAACGCTTATGGTTCTTCTATTAGAGCTAAGTGACTTTCCTTAATCTTCAATTTAGCTAAGATAGGAATGAAAGGTTGTTATGGTTATCCTTGTTATTGCATGACATTTGCAATCTGAATGATTAACAGGAAATAAAAATGACTTTCTCATCGGTAAACCCACATAAATGTCACTAACCTATGAAATATCATCTATCTAGGATGAACTTTGAATAATTTCTTTTTTCATTTACCGTTTAACTCATTAGACCAGAGAGTGAATTCAAATTTTCTGACTGTTTCGATGCAATGGTTAGTAAATTTATACAAACTGTGTTAGTTTTTCATTTCACCCTAATCTATGTCGAACGGATATTTCTTCATCTGTTTTGTCTAATGTGTTAAATAACTTTGTTCATAAAGGAAAATCAATAAACAAAATTTCGTAAAGCATGGCACATTTTCCAATCTCTTTTCCCAAATACTGTTCCAGGAGTAGGAAAATGAATAAATAATTGATAAAGCGTTTAAAAAATGCAGAAATACAAGAATCAATACAATGCCACATTAAAATTCTTGATCGAAAGAGGACAAGAATATCCACTAGGAAAAAAATTTTGAAAGGGTGCCAAGCAGATGTTACCCAGAAAATTCAAAAATGTCTAAAAGAGCACAGCTTAATTAAATTTTTGAATTCGTGCTGCCAAATGGCTAATTAATACTCCAACCTTCAAATTCCAAGGATCTTCCGCTCTAGCATTTATTTTGTTTTATTTTCTAGTGATTGAGAAGGCAAAAAACTTTGTGAATTTTCAGCTGCTTGTGGTCCGAAAATAGAACAAATTATATTATTTGTGAAAGTGAGTTAACAGAATTCCCTTAGTTGTGTTTAATCAATGTTAAATAAATAAATTACTTAATTGTAATAAATGACAAAGAAGTAATAATTATCCTCAGTGTTTAGAGGTACATGCTTTTCCTTCTTCTTTAAGACCCAGCGCGGAGTAAACATCGGGGTAATCAGTGCCTTGAGGCCACTTGAATGCAATTGGCAAGTAAAATATTGTCAGCATTAAAATAGCAGAATTAGCAAGAGCGTACCTTTTTATCTTTATGCAAACAAAATCAAAGAATAAATGACCATTTATTAGAATTATTAAATTTTATTCAGGGCTCTGGATATCTTAAATCGATTTTTATATCAAATTGTTGACCAAAGATATTTGCCATAATTTAAACAAAAATCGTTAACCAAGTAATTTTCATTGTAGTAGTTAATGATGAGAATCAAAAAAATCTTTGAGATGACGATTCTTAAACAAGGTGGCGCTATAATCATCTTTAAGATATGTGAGCGACTACAAATTTATCACAATTATTTGTCAACGAGCGGTTACTGTAATGGCCATTTACTTGATAAAAATAAATTGATTGATCATCCTGACAATTTCACGTAAAAATATCCGTCAAATCATTTATACAGATTTGAATGAAAATTGGCCACTTCAATGGATGCTCAATTTTCGATATATTTATTTACCGCGTCATGATTTTTAAAGTCATATATGAAAATTTTAGTCGATTAGAGCTAGGTTATTAAAATACTACTAAATAAATAATATATAATAATAAGATAGTGAATTGAAAAAACACTTAAGCCTTGATTATTAATTTCAATTTTTCCGAACGGAAATTACTTTTTTATTTATAACAAGCTATTTTTTGAGGAATTGAGGAAGCACAATTCCATGTAAATTAGACGCCGCCAATTCAAGTTTCGCATTTGACAGAATGAATTTCAAAAATTTATTATTTACTCCATCGAGTTTACACCATGATATGAAATGAAGTCATTTATTATATATTGATTGTGTTAGCGGATAAGACCAAATCAATCATAAAAGGGAAGAGGAGAATCCACCTCCGGATAAAAGTACAATGGAGTTAAAATCACAGTTCTTTGTGAACGGAGAAAGTGAGTGAGAGACAGAGAGAGCTGGAAATGACCCTATCAAATTTTTTGTGTTTGCAAGGAAACGACAAGTAAATTTAGCTAATTTAATTAATGGTAAGGCAGAGATATATTCACAATGGTGCTAACTAGGAAAATGTACTCGAGACAGGTGAAAGGTGGGAAAAGACAAAGGAAGACCTCTGACGAGATGAGAGGGAGAGGGGGGGCTGGGGTTACGATCCTATTTACAGTGATTTTCAATGGCATTTTGGAAGAGTTTCACACGCTCAGCAACGCTTGGTTGTCGGCCGGCATCGATGTTGTCTAAAATTTCGAAAATGACAATTTAAATTAAATATAAAAAGATTAAATCTTTGAAGCAAGTTAAAGCTTATGTATATGTATAGGAGGGGGGGGGGCGATACTTGAATGCAACGCAAAATGCAACACTATTGCGAGTATATACTTTGGTGGTTGAATTGAATTGAATTGAATTTTTAGTTTAGCCATTAGCCATTAGAATGTGAAATTCAGTGACCAATAATGTCACAGCAAAACATATAACTGCAAATCTAAAACAACCGAGATTCAATAGCAAAGATCGTAATTATGCTAATTAACAAAGTTAGTTATGATCAAATGGAAGACTGAAACATATTTCAACAGTTTGATGTACTTTAAGATAGTCAATATACGTCAGCTAGAAGATACACCAATTCCAACGCGCAAATTAGAAGCTGACTACAAAGATAAGATCAAATTAATGCACAAATGAGGATAAATATAAGTGATTGCAAGTTTTCAAAAAAACGCGTCCAAAAGAAATGAAACTTTTCTCTTACGTTATTTCTACTTACGAACTGATGGATTGCTATTAACAGTCATGCTCAATGTAAGAGATTTGCCAATAAATACACCTCCCGGAGCCTAAATTATTGATGAAAATTAAAAATTTTAATTAAACGTACTTTGAAACAATGCAAGAGCAATTCAGGCAGTGCTAAATAGAGACGTAACCAACAATCATCCTAACCTTTTTCTCTCAACAACTGACCCTTCAATAGTAAACTCCAAAACAACTGTAAAATAAATTAAATGCAGGCGGTGGACCTGTTGATAAGTGAAGAAATCACAGTTTCATAATATCAATTTAAAATGCATTAAATAATCAAATGCAATTTTCTTTTTCAAATGAGAAAATATCTCAAACTATATTCTAGTGTTAGTGATTTCAAAGGATGTTCTACTCAAAAAAACAACAGATAACTTTGCTTTGAACCTCTAAAGAAATTTGAATTTAGATACTAACATTAGTTTAGTATGCGTTATTTAAACAAATATATATATTCAAGAAGCGGTAAATTTGAAAAAAACAGAAATACTGAGTAAGTAGTAAGTAGTTGCCAAAAAAACAAACAAATATTTGTTTGAGATGAAGGCGAACGGGAATGACGACAGAAATAAAATATAAAATAATATGTTGGCAAGCAAAAATAAACTGCCATTCAACGTGTTCATGCTGAGGTTAAGCCAAAAAATTGAGAGAGGCAGAGAGAGGACTTACATTTTCGCGTAAACCTTCGCAACATACAACAAAGAGGAAACTTTTGAATGCACACATAAATAGGATCTGAAATTTTATCTTGTTAGAATATATATATATATATATATATATATATATATCACCTTCAGAATCCTTTTAAAGGAAAAAAAGACATTGTGAATATATTCTAAAGATTATTTATTTTTGCATTGTAATAAAGCGCTTAGTTTAGAGAGCAAAAAGTGAAATATCAGAATACATTCAATCGCAAATTTCTGCAAAAATCACTATTATTATTATTATTCATGATTTCTATTCGCTACTGCAGAGGGTTGAATCAAAATTGATTATAAATCAATTCCATTCTCCGATTATTAACGAATTATTTTAATCCAGCAGAAATATTTTTATTATTTTATTTTTATCAAGAATAACGTTGGCATGTCTTAAGCACCTTGAGGCAGTGCTATTGAACCAATTAGAGACAGCGATTAAGAGTCATTATATCAAAGCGGAATTAATCTTCTGTGATTATCTAACAGCTGATTTCTGATCTACAACATAGGTGCATTGGCAGGTCTGTGGACGATATAATTTGATTTTAGTCATTCTGCATATGTTGGCGTACTGAAATATCATACTATCATAATTTGCAAGCACCAATAATACCGATTATTCAGATAACATTCCTAGAAAATTTAATTGTGGTGTTCGTATAATTAATTGTAATTACCGTTAAAATTAGCTGGCACAAACTCGAACAAAGGATAAACAAGATTAATGCATCTAGTAAACAAACTATCTTAAATGGAAGAAAGTGAAGGATATTGTTTGAAATTGTTAGAAAAATTTTAGTCTATTTTAAAATTAAAAAAATTCCACCATAAAAAAGCTATGCTTTTGAACAATGACAAGAATAAATAATACAGAAAGATAACGAATATCGTTAGTACATTTAAAAACTTAATTTATTCAATATAAATCAAATTTAAAGTGAATCGTTTACAAATTAGGCACCACAAATTCCTAGATTGAACTATGAAGCACTGCAACTCAGAATATTCATTGTGAAATTGATTAAATATTCCCTATATTTGAATTAACTGTGAAATTGAAAAAAAACTGAAATAATTATAATTATTATTATAATTCGTCGGGATAATCTTCAAAATGCAGCCATTGCTTGATTTCGTATAGAGTCGTACTTTTACAACCGATCTCAACTCACCATTGACATTCTGCTCAGCGCTCTGACAACGTCTGTGCTCAATTTCAAAATCATACGAACGTGAAGTAGCTCCCCGAGCAATTGTAGCAGGATGAACTCGAGTCAGCAGATGGTCGGTGGAGACGTTGTGACGAAAGGGTCCCCGTGACGTATATATGGCCTTTGTACCACCATGCAGTCGTCTAGACAATACGTGAAAGAGAAATGTAATACTAATGTGGAACATTATTTGGCTTACTGACTTATCTTACACCGTAGGCACCATTGAAAGCGAAAAAGTTGGCAATAACTAGAAATTTTACTTGTGAAATGAGACAGCAGGCGCCTTTTCAACTCAGAATGTAGCAGGTGTAAAAATTGACTGAATTTACATTTACAAATCATAATCGGAAACTTTGACACTAGTTCACAAAATTCTCCATCAGCCCTAAGTAAGACCTATGAATTCTCTTCTTGCCCTGGTTACTTGCACTTCTTCAATCTATGTGCGCCATTTGAGCAAATTTATTCGCCTTTTTTATATGAGTGCATTCGATATGACTTGAAAACATAACGGAACTCATTAAGAAAAGAAAATAACCCTTTTCAAATAAGAACACTGCTTTGTATATGTTGCAAAGTCGTTAACAGCGTTACAGAATAAGCCCTATTGCTTTAATTTTGCTAATAGAGTTGTTTACTGCAATAAGCGAAACTATGAAGTTGATTAAATTTACAAACAACTCCTCCCATCAATTCTTTTAATGGCGGCTTCATTTGGACAAAATGTTGTATACCAAACATCATTACCATTAATGACTGAGACAGTGAGCGGGGTTTACCGAAAATCCACTCAGAGCCGTTAAACGGAAAATTCCATTTCATTAAACTATTTTTTGGAACCACATAACCGTCCACCCGAATAAGCACCCATGGGCGATAATACAGAAGTAAAATATTTTACCTAAGAAGTATACTAGAAAGAGGGTAATAATGATTCTCGAGATCAAACGCAATTCGATGATTCTTTTAACAAAAAAAACTTCAGTTCGAATATGCATGCAAGGTAAATTAACTTTAAATGGAAGTTATTCTAATAAATTTAAATTGTATCTTAGGGTATAGTATTAAAAAGGAAGAAGAGTAACGTAACTAAGCATTTTGAAATGAAGACTTACTCCGTATGAATGTAAAGGTTATGAAATATCAATGGCGGGCAAAATATTAAATATTATATAATAAGGATTTTACATTTTTGAGCCAGTCTGCAGAATAGCTAGCAAGCTTTACTTTTACCCTTTTAATATACAAACAATAACTCAACAACTCACTCGGAGGTACTTGAGCGCGTAACACCTGATCCACTGCTAAAAGACGCTGTTGGAGTACGAAACACATATTGATTACGCTGTGAGTCGTCATCAACAGACGCGGAAGACTTGTAATTCACAGGTGAGTAAGTGGAAGCGGAGCGCACTATTCCCTTACGATTAGGCGTGGTTTTAAATGCAGAATTCTGAAAGAAAAAACGTTCTACTATTACACTTTAAGTAGTTGTGTTGTTATTCATCTTATTTGGTAACTAACACGATCCCGAAACTTTATCGCTCACGACGCATGAATGGAGTATCGAATTATCACCTTGTCCAATTATTAGCGCATGTTTGCATGTTCCGATGCCTCAAAGAACAGGAATTAGATAACACAAATGAGTCATATCAGTTATCCATCCACAGCTTAAAGCCTAATCCAATCACATGAACACGAGATGTTATCTAATTATAAATAAGTTTCAAAACGTTTTCGGCAAACCAAATTTGGCCATTTGAAAATGATTGTCATAGTAACACATTTTTCGTCATTGTGACAAGTTCTTCTGTGAAGGTGGGCTACTTTACGCATAAGAAAGCACTTTTTAAAGTATTCAGTAGTTAGTTCACAAAATAAGAAATTGGTGCGAAAAATCAACAAGATTGCATATACTGGTCTAGAAGAGAAATTATCGAATAGAAACTTCTCCTCTGAGTTTCTGCAGAAAGCAATACATTATTACAGTACTAATCAGGAGACATTGTCTCGTTCACTACAATACCTGAGTAGACTGATATTGTGCTAAAGGTACCAGCATTAAAGATGGATGAACAAGAAAACGAAAATGTTATCCACCGATCGAAATACTATTAGGAAAAGTTTACAACCTATTTATCCCGCCTATTACGATCCGATTCATTCAGTATTAAAAGTGAACAGTGGTGCCCTTCGACATATTCCTCCATAAATAGCATATCGGCATTCCTAACTGACGTCAATTTTTAGTCATGTCCCTTTCAAGTGGATAGTGAAATATCTAAAACAACCAACCTGCTCGTTCCAGGCAGCCATGTCTTGTCCCAGGACAGAATATAGTGTTCGACCAGGACCTTCAAAATTCCCCGCATCTTCAACGTCTCTGTTTCGCCTAGTAGCGAAGGTTGGTTTCCACTCTGAGCTAGAAAAAAAGTGAAACAATTAAATAGCCCCTGATGAGATCACAGACAAGCACTCTGATTATTGGACGCTAGAAAGATGGCTTTACTCAATTAATGGATGTTGGCGCCGTTCTAAGCACCTCTCGATTTGGGAAAGTGGGGAGGGAGATGTGATCATTCTCCTAGAACGTTCTGTCAATAACGAATAAAATAAGCCTTATAAAAGCCCAGGCGCTCATTATTGCAGACGACAATTAAAGTATGCTACGAACACTGTAAGTACTCGCCAATGAACCGAAGTCTTAATACTTTGTATGGACTGAAAAAATGAAAGGACAATCATCATATGATTTTGGCAAATTCTCTAACAACTCACAAGTTATAATAGAAATAACCTAATTTCGTATAGGAAATAACTGCTAAATAGTGTAAATTTTAACGTAGACGGTTCAATTTACATTCATTAAGATGTTAGCTATCCCATCTTGGGTAAGCTAAGACTGTAAACGGTTGAATAACATTAATCAGAACTTTTTGTGTACTCAATCATTGAAAGATAAGTATACCCAAGTGGCAAGACCGAACACTATAGTCAACAGAAAACTTTGTTTACAGGAATTCAGGCGACACGCATCTTGAAATTTAAACTCAAGGACACGAACTACCAATTCATCGATGTTAAAATCCAGGTATTAAAAAAAAGCGAAAAACACTCCAATAACTTCGCCTAATCCCTAATCTCAATGGCGAACAGTAGAGCAGATTTGCGCTAAAATTCCAGGCGTATCAGAGCCTCACTGCCGTATAGGTTAAATCCCTGCTTCGTCGAATTCAGCTCGGCTATCTAATCGTGAACAGAATTTCACGAATGCCGACGACACCCTGTTCATTCCACCATTCCGAAAAACATGCATTTCAGATGTTAGCCACTATCCTAGTTACCAGGATGCTCTGTTAAAATACCATATTGAATAGTAAAAAGATAGTCAAACCGTAAGAGTTCTTTAAGTAAAGAATGCGCGTTACCCATTTTCACCCACTTTTCAAGCCCTTGTCAACTGAGGGTAATACTTCACTTGACAAATGTGAACGCCAAATTGTTAGAAAGTGTGACAGTATTTTTAGAGGGCATAAAAATTGACATTTGACATTTAACTAAGACAGGTGCACAGTACACACACACACATACATACATATAATATATATAGAAGGAGGGGAAAGAACTAAAGCAAAAGAACTGAATTCTTTCCCTACCCATCGCACACAGATGTACACACACACGCGCACACACACCTTTCCATCTACACTGTTGGTGTCTCCATAAGAAAAAACGATAAACAAACCTTCCAGATTCGTTAAAGAAGAGATGCTGTGGCTATTTGATGGGAAGGTTTCGTTTGATTAGAGAAAAGAGACAATAAAACTAGGTCAAATTTCTGTCCTCCCATAGAATTTAACAATTGTTGAATATACTTCCCTATTCAGACGCGGGCCTACAAAATTATTGGAGCATGGATGTTCTAATTTGTCTTTTTTTTCTAAGTGATTTGAATTAAGAAATAAATTCGAATTTTAGAAAAAGCAGCACAGTCGAGTCTTTTTTACATTTTCGGTGACATTAAAATTAAGGAAATTTTATTTCGTCGTGCATATTTAAAAGGTGAACAGTTCGATAGCTGCAACTGCGACACATTAAAGGTAACCATATTACACCAATTCGCCCAATTGGGTTGGTTGGTTTCAAATACCTGCCAATCAAAGCAGAATAAGGATACACAACTAAGAAATGGGATAATTGCATTGATTAACATTGGCAATGAATCAATAGATCAACTTTTCGGGGATAGATAATTGCGTTAAGAGAGAAAAATAGTCAGTATTAACGGGTATTTTAAAGAAGAAATTAAAACCGAAAATTACGCAGTCGAAGTTGACGAGGTAGTCGAATGAAATGGCGCAGTCCGTTGATTTCTCAAGGCTAGGCTTCGATCCAACTGATCCTGCATCTCCTTCAGCATCTCCAACTAAAACCAGAAGTTGAATATAAAGTAGGTGGAACGCGAAGGGGAGAGGAGGGGGAGGGGTGCAATTTAGAGTACCAGTTTCAAGTTGGAAATTTTATTTAAATTAAAGAAAAAAACAAACATTTCAGCAAATAGGGAGAAAACGAGATTAATTATGCATAAAAAACAATTTGTGCTTGTGATTAAATTCATTGAAAGTAATCTGAATTTGCAATGAGATGTTCTAATGCAGTAGTCAGTGTACTGGCGCCTTTTCAATTATGGCATGGATAACAGGTCATTACTATTACGATTTGTGACCAGTACGAGAACCTAAGAGCCAATGTTTATTCTAATACCTGTTGCTATAATGGGATAATATATAGATGCAAAAACTGTCAACTTATGCATATTTAACTGAACTTACTGTTGAATCCACGTCCATTTCTTCCCAACTGTGGCAGTGGTTGTTCTTCGTGGCTGGAGGTTTCACTGTCATTGGAATTCGTTCAGAACCTTCAGAAAAAAAGAAATCGATAAAAAACAATTTAATCATACGGCTAATTGTAGCGAGAATTGGTACAATAACTAATCAACAGCCAAAATATAGTGAAATAACTTAGAAGAACAATAGATAGGACCCCCTGCCACGACCATAAGTTACAATTGTGAGTGACATTAACAAGAGTCACAGGTCGATAACAAAAATAGAATTGCCATTATCAGCATTCAGGTGGCTAAACAACACAAACAGTTAGGTATGGCGATGAAAGCCACGAAGCAAAAGTTACGAATGCCTGTGGATAAAACAATACATTAAGAAGCATGTAATTCTCATTTCACGATATTGAAGAACATTCAGCTAATTATAGCAATTCTTTCTTAGTAGCCCCATTCTCCTTCAAGTTGGAGTGTGCGATAGACTTACCTCCACGTGGAGCACCCTGGACAATGTATACTCATGCAGCAAGAAAGGGCTATAAACTGGCAGTTGACTTCTGACTTCAAACTACCATGACCTCATTGTATGTCATATTCCACCACTTCACAATACTCAGCTCACCTTTTTTCTACCTTTGTGTTTGCCTCTTTTACATCTGTGAATCACTCTTCTGTTCCCCACCCTCTCCACTTTTTGTGACTTTGATGTTCCTCCCCCCTCCTCTCTTTGAAGCTCGATGTCCGCCATAGGGCTAATGATAACTATCAAAACGCCTGTCATTTGAGATAAATAAAATCTCATTCAAGCATGTTCACAGACTTGTTTATTGAGTAAAATGCGTTCTGACTTCAATCACTAGAAAACTCTAATAACTGCACCGCAAGGAAAAAAATTAAGTAGAGCTCATTCACAAAAACTGCCCTTTAGCAAGTGACCACCGCCGATTTTGCTTGTCAAAAATGCTATGATTATGCGTGGAACACTGGAACAAGACAAAAACTTGAGCATTTATTAACCCCCCCCCATGTTGTTTCAAGCTAAGAAGGCCGCGCATTCAGTTGTCAATAAAAGGGGGCTTTAGGAGTACAAATACCAACCACAGCATAGAGAAGAAAAATTGAAATTTTAATTGATTGAGAACAGCGAAAACCGGTTTGCATTTAAACCAATTAATGAAGATGGAGAGTGAATGGGAAAGATGCTAATTCACAGTTGTACGAAATTCGTGCAATAATAATGGGAAAGTAATACTCCCAAATTCAACTTCATGAGCACATCCTGGGATTAAGGAACGAACTCCTCTCCATGGTATTTACTTATTTCAAATGGCAGGCGTTTTGATAGTTATCATTAGCCCATTAGCTGACTTTAGGCTTTACAGATGGGAAGGAACATCAAAGTAACAGAAAGTCGAGGGGTGGAGAACATAAGAGTGATTTAGAGATGTAAAGAGACAGACATGAAGGTAGAGAAAAGGTAGGATGAGTACTGCGCCAGAACTCATTCGCCAGTTAATAGACTTTTTTGCCGTGTGAATATACGTTGCCCAGGGTGCACCACGTGGAGGTAAGTCTATCACGCACCCCCATATATATAATATAATATATATTATTCGCATGGGCCAACTTTCGCAAAACCCCGGTATATCACCTAGCAAACAGAGGATGGAAATCAGTCGACTCTCGCCCCCTCCCCCCACCCCCCACTGTGAATCTTAATTCGTCCTGTTTATCGTAACCAAGTTACCGTTTACACAGTATTGAAGTCTCCTACCCTCCCAACTAATTATGAATTCCTCTTTTCATCAATGTACACTCCATCACACTTAGCTCTAGATCTTCTCATTGAGAAAAGGTTGTTCGAAGGGGGTATATCTAGACCCAGTTGTTTGGCCTCCAAAATAGTTTTACTGACGGCATTGGCGGTACTTTAACTTCTCTCACCTTCCTTGTGATTGTTAAGTGCACTCGCTAAGTACACCCAAGCATCGAACTTCGAATTTGGAAAAAAGCGTTTCTACCTTGTAGCCAATATTATTCTTATTCTTGTATAAGGAAACATCTAAAGAAAAAAAGAGTCGTATGTTCTCAGAGAACTGTGAAAAGTTGGGTATTTGCGTCGTTATTAAAAGATGCAAGAAATTGCTCTACTAAACGATCTCGTAGAATTGAATTTCATATTTATAGTTCTGAGTATAAAATAGCTTATTAAAAATGTTATTCTGGACGATGAATCCATTCAAAAGTGCATGTCAGGCACGCACAAACACGACGACCGTCAAACGAGATTAGCGTGACCTGGTGTTAACTAGGCCATTTAACTGCCTAGTTCGCTATAGTCAACAAATGAACCTGAAAGCACAACGCAAGAAATAGTTCTTTTGTGTGTGTGTGTGAGTGTGGAAAAAACGACATGCAACTGTTGGTGAGGCGAGTGATTTGCATCGGACACGTGAAAAAAAGTGGAATGTTTACGGTAATGAGATACAAGTGCCTGTCATGATGCCTGTTAGCGTGCCATGTGGCCTACTGTCCTGCTATTATTCAAGGTACCTTAAATAATTTATTTATTTATTTTATTTCAAATGGCAGGCATTTTAATAGTTATCATTAGCCCTTTAGTTGACTTCGGGCTTCACAGAGGGGAGGAGGAACATTAAAGTGAGAAAAATTCGACAGGAGGAACAGAAGAGTGATTCACAGATGTAAAAGAAACAGACAGACACAAAAGCAGAGAAAAGGTGGGATGAGTACTGTGAAGGTGGTAGAATATGGTATACAGTGGGTCATGGTAGTTTGAAGTGAGAAGTCAACTGCCAGTTAATAGNCGATTTTGCTTGTCAAAAATGCTATGATTATGCGTGGAACACTGGAACAAGACAAAAACTTGAGCATTTATTAACCCCCCCCCATGTTGTTTCAAGCTAAGAAGGCCGCGCATTCAGTTGTCAATAAAAGGGGGCTTTAGGAGTACAAATACCAACCACAGCATAGAGAAGAAAAATTGAAATTTTAATTGATTGAGAACAGCGAAAACCGGTTTGCATTTAAACCAATTAATGAAGATGGAGAGTGAATGGGAAAGATGCTAATTCACAGTTGTACGAAATTCGTGCAATAATAATGGGAAAGTAATACTCCCAAATTCAACTTCATGAGCACATCCTGGGATTAAGGAACGAACTCCTCTCCATGGTATTTACTTATTTCAAATGGCAGGCGTTTTGATAGTTATCATTACCCCTATAGCCGACTTCGAACTTCACAGAGGGGAGGAGGAACATCGAAGTGAGAAAATATCGAGGAGGGGGAAGGCGGAAGAAGAGTAATTCACAGATACAAAAGAGGCAGACAGACACAAAGGCAGAGAAAATGTAAGATGAGTACTGCGGAAGTAATCGAATATGACATACAGTGGAGTCATGGTGATTTGAAAAGAGAAGTCAGCTACCGGTTTAAAGACCTTTAGTCATGTGAGTATACGTTATCCAAGGAGCTCCACAAGGAGGTAAGTCTATCACACACACTAAGAAACCGGAGTGATCTTCCACAACATTACTTTCTTTCGCGTTCTAATCACATCAAAGCTGCAATGGTGAACAAATTGAGGTGGGCAATTTTAAAGAAACGTCAACTTCATACGACTTTAGCGATTTGTATTTAACTTATTAAAATTAGCTACACTAGTTCATTTTTACTATTATACACAAAATAAAAGTGTCGAAGTGCAACAACCTAAGCCACAGGACGAAATGCACCTACGAAAAAATGCGACAGGAGGATTGGGAAAAAAAATTCGTAATCAGTGGAACAGGGTGTAAATAAATATTTGAATTTCAAACTATGAAACATTTGGTGTTTAATATCAAAGAAAATACAAGCTTACCTTTGAGGTCGGATTGAAACTGATGAAGCGGTCGATTAAATGAAGTGGCATTTGAATCAGTGGTGAAAGAGAAGGAGGGGGTGCGTGAATATCCCGTATTTTCTGATGAGTCCCAACTCCCACGTTCGACAGAGAATCGTTTGGAGGGATTCATATCCGCATGGGTCATTAAGGAACGACTACGCTGAACACCAGATAGAGTAGTAGTTGTGGGAACTTCGTGGGCCAGGAGATAACGTGTTTCAACGAGGACTCGAGGTGAAGGTGGGGAAAGTGACTCGCCGTCGGATTTAAGCTCCACTTGTTCTACACTTTGACGATTAGAAGGAGTTCTGACCGAACCAGCACGAACCACCGTAGTAGACATCCTTGCGGGAACTTGAGGGGCATCTGATGAATTATTTCCTAATGAATGTGTGCCCATCTCATTATCACGCTAAAACACCAGCAGAAAGATAATCAATTGGGAGGGCAAAAAATGCGGAAAATTAAGAAAATAACCAACAAATATCCCCGAAGGCTAAGCAGACGATATACAAATCTTTCGTATGTGGGATAGACTTATCTCCACGTGGTGCACCCTGGACAACGTATACTCATACGGCCAAAAAAGTCTATTGATCGGCAGTTGACTTCTGAAATCAAACTGCCATCACCCCACTGTATGTCATATTCAACTACTTCCATTGCACTCACCTCACCTTTTTATCTGCCCTTGTATCTGTCCCTTTAACTTCTTTAAAACACTCTTCTGTTCCCCCCCCCCCCAATCTCGACTTTTTTCACTTAGATGTTCCTTCCCCTCTGAGAAGCCTGAAGTCAACTATAAGGTTAATGGTAACTATCAAAACGCCTGTCATTTGTTATAAACAAATTAACTTTCAAAGAAGAAGTTGACAGCAATTAAGTTGAAACTTTGCTCAGGACCAAGGAGTTTTCTAATACAACTTATTGGGCAAGGATGGAATGCAGATAATCGTAAGATAAATGTTAATTAATTCAACCTTTTTTCTTCCCACAGTGCATTCTTCGATATCCATCCTTGCAAAAAGTTGAGTGTGCTTCGACACTGTTTTGGAAAAAGGCATTTTGTAGAATTTCAAATCAGTCCAACAACTTCGAGAAAATCAAAGAAAATTTCCCAATCACATCTGATCATAGCATAGTAAAGAGTGCGCAATATTTTAAATTTTAAAGGCATCTCTAATTCTGTATACATCCATTCAACTTAGTAATTTTTACTCTGAAATTGAACAATCCCAACGATGCATTTACATGGAAGGTGCCAAATGTCATCAAGACGTAAATTCACATAGAAACTTTAAAATTCGATTTTTAATTATTTATGATTTAACAATTCTGTCATTTAGTCAAAGTGAATATGACCCTGAAGTGAAAAGTCCAAAAAGTGCTGTCATCTCAATACTACTTACCTCAAATTTCAGCAAAGAAGAGCGGTGTACATGACAAAGCACTCATGTTTGTAATAAAACGGCAGTAAATGTAACGTTGTGAATAAAACGAGAATGCCAAAGGATATATGAATTCCATAGTGAGAACCCCTCCCCCCCCNACGACGACCGTCAAACGAGATTAGCGTGACCTGGTGTTAACTAGGCCATTTAACTGCCTAGTTCGCTATAGTCAACAAATGAACCTGAAAGCACAACGCAAGAAATAGTTCTTTTGTGTGTGTGTGTGAGTGTGGAAAAAACGACATGCAACTGTTGGTGAGGCGAGTGATTTGCATCGGACACGTGAAAAAAAGTGGAATGTTTACGGTAATGAGATACAAGTGCCTGTCATGATGCCTGTTAGCGTGCCATGTGGCCTACTGTCCTGCTATTATTCAAGGTACCTTAAATAATTTATTTATTTATTTTATTTCAAATGGCAGGCATTTTAATAGTTATCATTAGCCCTTTAGTTGACTTCGGGCTTCACAGAGGGGAGGAGGAACATTAAAGTGAGAAAAATTCGACAGGAGGAACAGAAGAGTGATTCACAGATGTAAAAGAAACAGACAGACACAAAAGCAGAGAAAAGGTGGGATGAGTACTGTGAAGGTGGTAGAATATGGTATACAGTGGGTCATGGTAGTTTGAAGTGAGAAGTCAACTGCCAGTTAATAGACTTTCTTGCCGCATGAGTATACGTTGCCCAGGGTGCACCACGTGGAGGCAAGTCTATCGCACGCCCCATACCTTAAATAAAATGTCATTATCAACCCCCCCCCCTCCTTTTTTGCTTTGAGCATGACGACTTAATATACTACTTCCTCTGATTGATTCTATGTTGGAGACACACGATTTCAGTATTACCGAATCTCAGAAATTCTGCCACTGCCTTGCTAAATAGTTATATCAAGTGGTAGGCTTTATGATAGTTATAATTAATCCTTTAGTTGACTTCGGCCTTCACAGAGTGGAGGAACACCAAAGTCACTAAAAGTCGAAAGGGAGGGGAACAGAAGAGTGAATCGCAGATATTAAAGTGGCGGACACAAAGGTAGAGAAAAAGGTAAGGTGAGGTGGGTACTGTGAACGTGGTGGAATATGACATACATTGGGGACATGATAGTTTGAAGTCAACTGTTGGCTTATAGACATTTTTTGCCGTATGAGAATACGTTGTCCAGGGTAAGTCTATCACCCATCCTGCATTACTGAATATCAAGTACAGTAAATGCCACTGTAAATTGTAATACGAGGTCAGACCTAACCAGCGCTGTTGGTCATTCCAATTACTGGATGTGCTCTAGTTGGTATCAAACCTGCTCCTTCTGACCTCCCAGACGTGCACCATCGCACTGACAACATACTTAATATCATGATGTTTACCAATTAAGTGATTGAAGAACAGGTCCACTTCCTGTTGCACAAATGAAAGCGATCTGAGAAGGCACTGGTAGGTTGATCAGCGTCAATTTAACCATGGAATTCCCTCTTCTTCCAATTTTCTCGCAGTCAAACTAATTAAATAAGTGATTTTATTAACGCGTGAACAAATGCTGCGAGCGTTCATGTCATATTTTGTTATTGTTGTTTGGTCAAGTTTGTTGTTGTACTTAGTGTTACTACCCAGGTCATTTAAGTGTCGGGTTGACTTAGAGTATAACAGGCGTAAAAATCAACCAAAACGACTTCAAAATTAATTAAATTTGTCAAAGTCCATTGCTATTTTGTACGAAAAAGATGTCGATACAACGAGAAGTAAACTGTTGAATTCTGACACATTGACTATCCTGAAGCTTAGATGAAGTCGATCTTCTAGGGCCGTCTCTCAGAAAGAAACATTTTTTTGTTTTGATTATTTAATTACCTCACACTTTATGAAAGTTACTGGTGCTACGTTGTTATTTGAAAGTCTAATGTGAATTAGTTAAAAGTGATTACAGTTGGTTGTGAATTTTATTTCAAATCGATTAACTTTCCAGGTATTTACGCCCTGACACTTTAGAAAATGCCGCTGATTAGTGAAAATTGGTGTCACTTGGGTTGACAGACACCGATGGAATTTGATTCTTTCTACCCTTACTCATGAGACCACATAGCACATTAGAGACCGGGAGAGATAGAATTTCGCAGATCAATCATCGTTATTAATAACGTCAAGTAGGGATCCAATTTCAAGTATTGCAAACATAATGGGAATTAGATTTTAATGGCGGATTGGGTGAACTACAATATTTCTTAGCCATAACATTTTGATCGCGACAACATTGGGGGGGGGGGGTAAACCACCTTATTCACATAATCGTTTCTAAAATGCATGTTTTTAGAAGAAATAACAAACAGAAGAGTTTCTTGTTTATGTTAGCCTTTATAAGGAGCGTCAGATTTAAAGGGGGAGAGCTCTACTTCTAACTTGGTTTATTAAAGTAGATATACTGGTGATATAGCTTTACTCTCTCTCTCTCTCTCACTTTGCTAATTATCGTAAGAGGAGCTCTCATAGTGAGAAGCCATAATAGGCTTGCAGTTATAATAGACCTGACCTCCAAATAATATGATCAGTCTTGCATAAGGACTTGTACATGTTAGTAGCAAATTAGAGAAAGACAAATTAGAAGTTGACATTACTCTATGAAAAGTCTGAGCGCCATATTAGTATCTTCTTTTTAAAATTACGCCCAACTATGACTATAAATTATTTCTAATAAAGGTAGCTAATCTATCATGTAACTTATCCATAGACCGAACCCTTGAACATTAAATGATGCTATTCTTTGGGCATCGGTGGTAACGATGTGTGCTCCACAATAAAAACTGGGGTCTCGTTTATGGTAGTATCTTACACTGTGGCTGATTAACTTTGAACACCTGAAAGCTATCAGTGGTCAACAGCTTGAATGACCAGAGGTCGAGTTGCCTTAATTCCAAATTAAATTTAAGAGTCCTACTTTCTGTGGCTTGTGTTATTCCGTTTGGACAGTTTGTATTTTGCTACCAATCATACGTAAACTTGTTCTGCTTTGTTTCGGACCTTCGACAATTTGGTTTTACCATTTTTTACTTTGAGTTTCAACTATATCGCAATGGCCATAGGTTAAATGGTGTCATTAAACTGCCCTCACTTCAACAAATTAAATGGAGATAGCTACAATCTCCATACAAGAGACAAGTTCTATTCAGAGGTTCGATCCATCAATTTCATACTAAAACATCTTAAAATTTAGAGTTGATTCCCGAAGGTAAAACCCAGAGTCCGGTGTTGAATTTTGTTATTTCGTCTTCAATTTTATTAAAATCGAAACTTAATACTCATTTGCGACGTGTTTACATGGCGAATGGTACCTGTTAGACGCCGACATTTTTGTTTATCAATTACAGGTAATCTGTTTATCCTGAAAACTAACCGTTTAGGGTCACAAAAATATCATTATTAAATTCTCGGCATTCAACTAACTATGTTTTTACGCTTTCATATGTACAATTTTTGTATTGCTTACAAAGCTGTAACGCTTTATTTTGCTTTAAATTCTCTTCAAAGTTCCAAGTATGAAATCACTGTTCAATGCGACCAGCATGACTTCGAGACATACAAGGCAAGGCGCATTACCCTCTCTCGTCTTTTAGTTTTGGTTTGGGACCCAGCGTTTGAAGGGTAGTGAGTGGTGCTATACTGTTACATACCCTAATCTACTTCTACAAAAGTGGGGTGCGCGATAGGCTTACCTCCATGTAGTGCACTCTGGTCAACGTATTCTCATACGGCAAAAAAGTCTATTAACCGGCAGTCGACTTTTGATTTCAAACTACCATCACCCCACTGTATGTCATATTCGACTACTTCCACTGTACTCATCCCACCTTTTCTCTACCTTTGTGTTTGTCTCTTTTACATCTTTGAAACACTCTTCCTCATTCCCCCCATCGACTTTTTTCAATTTGATGTTCCTTCCCCTCTGTGAAGCCTGAAGTC